GAAGTGCAGTTCTCCGCTGGGCGTTTGGGCTCGGTCGCCGTGGATGCGGCGGCGGCGGCGGCGGTAGCCACGCGCAACACGGAGGAAGAGGAGGAGAGGCTGGAGCGCGAGCACTTCTGGAAGATCATTAATGCCTTTCGCTACTACGGGTAAGGAGCCCGTGGCGGACCCCAGCTCCGCCCGTCCGGGTGTCCGCTGGTTGCGGCGAACCCGCCGAAACGGTGGCGCCGCCCGCGCTCCTCCTCGGCCGCCACGCCTCCGGGATTCCCGGACCGGGCCGCCTGAGCTGACCTCGGGGTCCCCGAGTCACCTCGCACCACCGTATCCCCTCTCGGCCCTGCGCACCCGTCAGCTGCTCTGTCTCTTGCCTTCTGACCTCAGGATCAGATGAGCTCTGTTGCCTTCCATCCCTCGTTAAAGGTTTGGCTTTGAAGCCAGTGTGTGTGGGGGGTGGTAACCGGAAAAATTCTGTGACAATTTCAGACAGGAGATACGATGGTGGTAAGTTGTCCAGTGCTGGGCATGGTTGGTTTGTGTTGTCAATGGTCTCCAAACTGAACACGGAGAGCCCGAGTTGACCTCCACGTGGGATGCGGCAGGATGTATCTTCCCAAACTGTTGCCAGTTGTTGTGAGAACAGCCTAAGATTTTCGCCCCACCCCCACGGCGCTGTAGAAGCTCCGGCACATTGTGGTGAGCGAGTGACTGAGGCGGCTCCATGTCTTTAACTGGTGGGTGAGATTAAGGTCGGAGGTGGTCCGGATATTCTAACATTTGCTAATTAAGCAGAGTCTTGAGGGGAGTCACGGTGAGAGCCACCTTTGTGATCTTTTATTTTGCAAATATGTTTTGAATTCTCACCGTGAGCCTGGTACGTTGGTGGAACTTAAAACTTTCTTCTACTTTTCTTCTAGATAGATGTTAAACTAGCTTAGCCACAAAATTTTTAATTCAGAGACCTGAAAGGGACTTAAATCAACTCGATTTGCAGGTAAAGGTAGTATTTTATTCGTGTAAGAGATGAGTCCACCGAGGGACACATTCTGAGTCTGCAGTTGTAATCAGACATGACCTCCCCCGCGAGAAGAATTGTTCCCCTAGATGGGCTTCTGCTGTGCTTTATGCAAACTTTTTATTGCTCGACTGTGACCTCCTCAAGGGCAGGGACTGAGCCTCATTTATTTTTATGTCACTAGTGCTTGCCATATGAAGCTCTGTTTTTAACAAATAAGAGGTAGAAGCAAAGAAATAGATTTGTCATTCCCAAATAGTCTGTCAATTTGTGACCAGTTGGTAAACTAGTCTGTTACTATTCTGAATTTAGAAACTCGCTTAATAAAAGCTTAAAGTTGTTTAGAATCTGATTACATTTGTCACATGAATTTTTGAAGTTCAGAGATCTTGATGAAATAATTTACTAACGAAGCACAGGGATAGAAACCGTGGACTGCATTAGTTATAGAGCCCCAAAGGAAATTAGTAGTATGGGGATTTTACTTAGTATCAACAGAGGAAGGAAGGCAGACAACCAGAGAATTGAATTTGATGTAAGTATTGTGCCTGGAGGAACCACACAGGCGGGAGAAGCAGCTGTCATTAGATAGCTAAGAGTGGTAGATACAGAAAAGTCCTGTGCATTTTACTGTTGAAGAATCTAGAAAGATAATTGGGAAATGTTTTGGGAATATAATGGACATAATTAATTAAAATGTGTGTTTGTACCCAGGTCTAAAATATTAGGACTAATCTAGAATTTATATTTATGATTAGCTATCAGATGGGCCTTTTTGTTGTGGGGGCAGAGGGACTTTGACCTGGATCTAGGACCCAAGTGTGGCAATATAAAAAAGGGCAGTTGTGTGCATGTTCTAGTTGTGATAATTTCCTATACTCTCATCCCTCTTTACCATTTTAATATAGGATTGAGGAAAACTTCATTTTTTTAATAGCAATCCTTATTATTTGTATGTACTCTATGATGAAACACTTTAAATCTCTAGACTAAAACTAATATACGATACAAAATATGCTTTTTAAAATATCACTGAAAGGATTAGGGTTACGGAAAGCATTGTGCAGCAGAAAACACTGGATTGTTTCATTCCAGCATTTTATGATCTAGACTTGCACCGTCCACTGTCTTGGCCGCTAATTACATTTGGCTAAATTAAAACTTAAATTAATTAAAACTTAATACAATTAAAAATTTACTTCCTCAGTCTCAGTAGCCACAGAGTTTGGTTTTATTTCTAAATGCCTTTTAGTCAATATATAGGAGATTTAGATTAAAGTCATAGGGCAAGAAATGTCTTTTGATTAATGTTTTCTCTTTCCAGTTGCTACCAATTTTGTGCTTCCTACAGATTTTGCTTAGATGAACATATTCTAAGGTAAAAATGGCATTGTAATGAATACCAAAAAAGTGTTGTAAGCCTTAAAATACTACTTGTATTATGAATGAAGGTACCTAGTTGACACAGAAAATACTACCGTTTAAAAATCAAAGGTCTTGTTAGAGTTGTCTTACCTTTAGAAATAGCGGTTAGGTGAGATTTTTTAGAATTGAGATGTAGAGCTCATTTTTACAGGTGAGGGGATAGGCATATAAAGAGATGAGTAACTTGCCCAGGGTTACACAACCAAATTGTGGTAGCGTCTGGCCTTAAATCCAAAGTCATTTACTAAGATTTTACCCTGCGTTAGTAAGCAGTGATATTAGTAGGACAATTTTAACCTTGGGTATTTAATAACTATTTTAATTGAGTTGAGACAGACTTTCCTTCTGAAAAGGTATGCTTTTCTGTTTGGAATTCTAGAGTAGTTCAACAGGGTCAGAGGGATGGGTCAGTGACCTTGGCCTTTGGCTCAGACCCAGCATCTACCCACCCTGATGAAAGGTGACTAAGTCAGAGTTGGGGTCACTGCCTAGACCAGCCTTCTAGAGAGAGCTGGAGGTAGATATACCCTTAAGGAAAGATGGCTGCTGACTACTCTCTCCCCTTAGCTGCCAGAAGATGTGGCCTCATTATGCTGACTGTGTTCAGAACCAAGGAGAGTCTGAAGGTTGTAAAACATTCCTTTAAAGCAAGGTAGGCAAACTTTTTTTTAAAGGGTCAGGCAATGGATATTTTAAGCTCTCAGGGCTAAGTGGTCTCTGTTACAACTATTCAACTCTGCCCTTGTTGTGGAAGTAACCATAGGCACTATGTGAACAAGTAGGCATGGCTATGTTCCAGTAAAACCTTTTTATAAAACAGATCAAGGACCAGGGGTGGGGGTTGGGGAGCATGGTTTGCCACCCCTGTCTTAAAGCACACTCAAAAAGTTGTCTGATGCACTCAAAAAGAGCCTGGAGGCTCTGGCTAGAAATAAATGATGCTTATTCAAGGGTCTTAGAGTATGCAAACTGGAAACACAACTAGGCAAAAAGTCAGATGTGTTTAGAAGAAGAGAAAAAAGTTGAGTTCTTACAGTAAAATGTGAATTTTTGAGACTAATTAGTCCTCTGTTTTTAAAACTAGGATTGGTTCCGGATGGTTATCAGTCAGATGTTAAGCAGTCTGGATGGTGGTGTCAGGTGGTCTGGATACATGACAGAGGCTGATTAGAGGGTTATCCGAAGGTCTCACGTATATCCAGGCATTACCACAGAACTGGAAAGTTCAAAAATTTAAGTTCCCAGGCTAGTTAAAACAAGAATAAAATAATTTCCTCGTACCTGAACCTAATTTATTTTAGTAATTAGCAGTTTGACTACAGTGACTCCATTATATTTCTTCACTCTATTCCTCATAATGTAAGGATTTCCAGAATAGTGAAAATATCCCCAGTTATAATAGTACAATAAGAATTGGACTCTTTTCTCAACTTTGGTAAGACCTCATTTCAAGAAAGTCACTGTAGGTATATGTTATAGATAGCTTGGCATACTATTAAGTAACCAAGGGTTAAAGGATATGCTACATCGCATTGCACTCTGTGTAGTTACATCACTTCTGTAGCAGGAATTGACCTCAAATATGTTAGGTCCTTCTGACCAATCCAGAACTTAACTCTCCTACTATCATGCAAATAAGTAGTCTCCATGGAGAACAAAAAGTGGCACCTAGGGGGAGCTTCACTGAATCTTTACTGATGGCTTTTTACGTATGCTGAAATATGGAGCTTAAATGGTGACAAAGATCAGACTTGTGTTTTAGAATTCACCTGATGGGGAGGTTAGGTTGGGGACAGCATTCCTAGGTAGCAGGCCTCTCAGTAATCTTTGGGAGACATAATGAGGGCCTGAGCTAAAGCACTGGGGGCAGAGGGGTGTAATTTGCAGATAGTTTTATGAAGTAGAATCAAAAGGATTTGGGGCTTAATGGATTGTGTGGGCCATGAGAAGAGGCATTTTAGGGTGACTTGTTAGTTTCTGACTCGAGTGGATGTATGATGTACCATTCATCAATATCAGCAATGTAGGAAAATATGTAAGTTTTTTTTGGTGGGACATGTGCTAAATTCAGTTTGGATATGTTGAGTTTTGAGGTATGGTGAGAGGGCGATTAGGGGGCATCCAGTGCCCAGGGATACTAGAAATAAAGTACTAAAAGACTATTTAATCTGTTGACAGTAAATTGTAAACTGTTGCAACTCTGCTGTTTACTTAACATACTGTGGTCTCTTTTAAATAGTTCCTTTAGTGTCATACTCTACTGCTAGGAATGTAAATTGGTACAATCTTTCTGAAAATCGGTTTGTATCAAGAGACTTAAAAAAATACTCTCCTTTCTGACACGGTGATTCTTTGGAGAATTTGTGCTAATTTTTTTCTAAAATACAGGCAGATTTAAACACAAAAAGTTCATCATATAGACAAGCGAAAGTATCCAGGTGCCATTTGTTTGGGAAATAGCTAAGTAAAATTTGGTTGCATAAGATGAAACAGTCATTGCAGTCATTTGCCATATAGTCACTTGAGAACTCTTCTGATCTGGGGAAATTCCTCTAATAAAGATGAAGAATTACAAATGCTTCTAAAACCTTAATGTGCATGTGGATCATTTGGAGATCTTGTTAAAAGGCAGATTACATTTCAGTATGTCTTGTGTAGGGCCTGAGATTCTTCATTCCTAACTACTTCCAAGTGTCTGCTGATCTGTGTACTGTCACGTTTTTATTAGAAAGGCACTAAATAACTTTGTCTTAAACTACAAAACAGAAATATGCCAAAAAGTTAGAAGTGATTGCCTCTAAAAGAGGGATTATACTTTTAATTAAAAAAATACTTTTACGTTTCTGCATTTTTCATATTTTCAGTGTGAACATAATAGTTTTTATAAGTTAGATATGCCTACTATATTTAAGCACTTAGTGACTTTGTTTAGTGCCTTGCATTTATTAAATCTCTACAGATGATAGCTTCTGTAATCATCATCATCGTTGTTGTTATGCTTTTGTAAATGAGACAGTTGAGGCACAGAGAAAGGAAGTAACTCGCCAAGTCACATAGTAAATAGGTGGCATAACCTGAATTTCAGTCCAGATCTGTTTATTTCCAGAGCTCACTATTATGACTGTCTCAAGGAGGTGGGGGGTGAGCGGGCAAAAAGCAGTCATCAGTATAGCCAGTCAATGCCAACTTGATCTTTTCACATTGCCTCTAACCCCGGAATACCACCACACCCAAGCTCCTAAAAACATGTCCAGGCTTTTGTTTAAGTTTTTTCAGAGCTTCTTCAGAACTTAAATATTGCTGTTCAGAAATTAGAGAGTGATTTGGCATAAGGTAAAATTATTTGGATGAATAGAGAGATTCAGGCAACCAAATGAAAAAGTATTTTTTATTTTCATTTAATACTAAGTAAATGCCAAAGGACTTTTAAAAGAAACATTTACCTTTTTTGTTTGTTTGTATATGTAAACTGTAAAGAATGATGCAGTGAACACCCATGAGCCTACCACCCAATTTTACAAAAGAACAATTATCCTATCCCACAATTTTACAAAAGAACAATTATCCTATCCCAGTCCCCTCAAGCACATCACTTTCCTGAATTTTCATTTCCTTTCCTGTCTTGTAGTTTTTCTACATATGTTCCATTCCTACAATACATTGTTTATTTTTATGTAAAATGGAATTATACGGCATGTATTTTTCTACAATTTGATTTTTCAACAAATATTTACATTCCTGAGTTTTATCCATATTACTATGTGTAGCTATAATTTAGTAATTTAACTGCATTTCATGGTGTGACTATACTGTACATTCTTTGTTCAGTCTACTGGTGATGTACCTTTGGGTTGTTTCCAGATTTTTCGTTGGTTATTTCTATCAGTGCTGTGGTCCAGATTGTTTATGTTTCATGGTGACCATTTGCAGGAGTTTCTTGAGTATGTATCTAGGAGTATAATTGCTAGATCAAAGGGAATATGCATATTAAGCTTTACTAACTAATGCTAAATTATTTTCCAAAGTAGTTGTATTCATTTATGCACCCACCATCAGTCAGTATGTAAATATTCTAATTATTTCACATTTTTACCAGCATTTCAGATACGCTTTTAAATTTTGCCATCTGATTGAAGTAAAATCACATTTCATTGTGAATATAACATTTGATGTTCTTTTCAAATTTTATAAAGAGGTAGTCCCTAGCGTGACCTTTAGAGTTATTTGTAAACTTTTAATCCTCACCTGAGGATATGTTTTTCATTGATTCTAAAGAAAGGGAGAGGGAAAGAGAAAAACATAGATTGGTTGCCCCATGCATGTGCCCCAACTGGGGATTGAACCCACAACCCTGATACGTGCCCTGACTGAGAATGGAACCCAAGACCCTTCAATGCATCCAGTGATGCTCCAACCATTGAGCCACATCATCCAGGGCATAGTTATTTGGAAACTTTTAGAATGCAAAGGTGAATATTGTCATGTAAAATGCTATAGAATTTCAATTTTTAATTTGTTCACTACTTTTGTAATACATAAGATCTTTTATGATATTTTGAAAAATTCAGTGTGGTTGACACTTAATTTCATGAAGAAATCTAAAGCATTCAGCTACTTTTGCTGAAAATCTTTAAGTTTGGAAATTGAAATCATAAAAATAAATTTATTGTACACTAATCCTCTTTAATGTTTTTCCTCCTTCATTGGTACAGATGTTTACTTTTAGTAGTTATAAACAGTTTATCTTTTGTTTGGCTGCTTAGAGAATTTGTACTAAGGTGTGAAAACATACAAAACCTTCTAAGTGGATATCCTTTAAGAAACCAAAATATTGTGACAGGACAGTATCCAGCATTAATAAGGGAGTAATTGTACAGAAAGACAGCCTTAAAATAAGATTGCCCTCTGCTGAGAATTCTCTTGCCAATTTAAAAAACATCTTTTATGTTTTAGCATCAGTATGCATGAGCGAGTGAACCGAACGGAAAGACAATTTCGATCACTTCCAGCTAATCAACAGAAACTACTTCCTCAGTTTCTTCTTCACTTGGACAAGATCCGGAAATGCATTGATCATAATCAAGAAATACTACTGACCATTGTGAATGATTGCATACATATGTTTGAAAATAAAGAATATGGAGAAAATGTATGTGAAATTTGTTCTATTTGTTTTTATTTTAGAGTTTAATCTCTGTATTTTGAGGTCTTTATCTTTCTGGATTTTATTTTTATAATTTTGCATGGGTTATTTTCTCTACTCAGGGAATGTTTCCACTTGTATATTCAGTCATTTGATTAGGTTTAATAGAACAGCATGCCAGAAACTGTATTTGTTCACTGATTTTTTTTCTTTAAATACTAAGATAATTGTTGGTATTTTGATACACTTTCACGTAGTGTTCTGGCATACAGAGTTAGTGACTTAAATTTTTATAAACAACTTTACTAGCTATGTAAAATTAATTTCCCTTGCTAAATTCATTGTGCCCAGTATCTTGTATTTATTGATAGTTATCTTTTTTAATTTAACTTTTTAATCCTCACCCAAGGATATGTTTTTCATTGATTCTAAAGAGACAGGAAGGGGCGGGGGTGGGGGGGAGAGAAACATAGATGTGAGAGAAACATCAATTGGCTGCCTCCTGCACACACCCCTACTGGGGATTGAGCCCACAACCTGGCTATGTGCCCTGATTGGGAATCGAACCCAGGACTCTTTGGTGCACAGGATGATGCTCTAACCAACTGAGCCACACTGGCCAGGGCAAGTCATCTTTTATTTTAAGAAATTATTTTCACTTATAAATCTCAAAGGACTGGCAGTAATAGAAACTGAAGTCCTCTTTTTGTGTCCACAGGATAGATACAGTTGGGCCACTCCACTGTGAGCCTCTCCATGCTGCCCCATCAATGATCTGGAGGGACTTTCTTCTCTTTCTTAGAGAATGTTTGGTCTCCATACAGCTCAGTGCTGGTCCTCTCCAGAGTAAAGACTGCTTAATTATATGGTGGTTTCATGATTAATGGATCATAATCTATTGAGGGTAGAAGGGAGACCACCAGACTTTTCATTTAGTATCTCAAGCTGCACTCAAATCTCGTTGAGGTGAGAGGCAGTGATATTTGTTCACTAAACCATCTATATAGCCTCTTAGAAGCTTATCTATTTAACTATATTCAAGATTGATTACTTTTCTCAGAAACTAATTGATTTCTCTTTTTTAAACAGGGGAATGGAAAGATTATGCCAGCATCTACATTTGACATGGATAAGTTAAAATCCACATTGAAACAGTTTGTGAGAGACTGGTGTGAAAGTGGGAAAGCAGAAAGGGATGCCTGCTACCAGCCAATCATTAAAGAAATTTTAAAAAATTTTCCAAAAGAGAGATGGTAATTACTATCTTGTTTTTAACCAATTTCTTTAAGCTATGTAAGCACTGAGTTTTTCTATGAGGCATTTCACAGTTTTGGTTCATTTTTATAGTTACTGTGTGCCTGTATTTTTTTTCATATGTGGGTGTATGGTGGTATATTTGTTCTTGGATGCTTTGTGTGAGGTTGCAGTTAATGTTGTGAATAATTTTTGTTCTAGCACATATGGGATATTAGAAATTAAATAATGAGAAGGTTAGCTTGAATGTTCATTATCAATGATGTCTTTATATCATTTGCTTTATGGCAGAGCAAAAAGCTGAAAACTTCAATTTTCCTCATTATAACATCCTTGTAAGCAAATGAGGGATCAATAACTTGGAGCAGAGATACTTCACTTTTTAATGTTGAAATCCTTGAGCAGTCTGAAGCCCATGAGGATAGCATTTATGAATCTAAAGATAAAATACCTAGGATTATCAAGAAACCAGTTATTTTGAAATAGGTTACCAAAAACTTAAAAAGATGATTTGTAATATAACCTGCTCTTTATCATATATCACATTAAAATCTAGCAACAAGTGTTACTATATTTTGAAAGTACTGTATGGTACATATATTATTTTGAGAATTTCAATAACTGATATGAAGTGAAAATATATGTGATTTTCTATAGTTGATAAAGCCAAAGGTACTCCCATAACTACTACAATTTGTTGCCTGCATTTATAATTGAAGAAGAGAGTAACAGTTAAAGGTTAATGAAATTAAAGTGTAATTTTTTTCCTATTCCCTTCATAGATCCAGTGAATTCTCTCCATAGACCCCTTGGGTCCCTGGATGTCAGGTTAGAAACCCCTGACTTAGAGACTATATGTTTAAGGAGAACCACTGGATGGAATTCAGTTTGTCCTTTAAATATCTTTGTAGACAGGTTACTTTTCCTCATCTTCTTCCCCTCCTCAATGATTGGCATCTTTAAGTTTGGTATATCCTTCCAGAAATTTCAGTACGCGTGCGTGTGTGTGTGTGTGTGTGTGTGTGTGTGTGTGTGTGTCTTTTAAAGAAAGTTTTTATTGAAATAACCTAAAAATTACAGATAAGGTGTATGAATTGTACAGAAAGTTCCCATATACTCTGTATCTTTATTGTTGAAAGTATTACAGATGTCCTCCTTTTTTCCCATTGACACCACTCCCACTCCCATATACTCTTTATCTGAATTCATAAATTCGTAACATTTTACATGTGCTTGTATTTCTTTTTCCTACTTCCCTCTTTCCTACCTTCCCCTACTTTATATGTATGTTCTTAAGAACAATGATATTCTCTTAACGTAAACACAGTGCGGTTACCACATTAAGGAAATTTAACTTTGAATACTGTTTTCTAACTTACAGTCTATATTCAAGTTTCATAAATTATCCTGATAATGTCCTTTGTAATGCTCATTTTTCTGTCCAGTCTAGAATACAATCCAGGATATCATAGTACAATTTGATTGTAATGTCTTAATCTTTTTTTTTTTTTGGTTTAAAACAATGTATATTTTATTCTGAGTTCTAGAGATCAGCAAATCAGTTTTCCTGGGCTAAAATCAAGGTATTAGCTGGGCTGGCTCCTTCCAGGAACCATAGGATAGAATATGTTTCCTTGCGTTTCCCAGCTTGTAGAGCTGCATCTCTGTATTCTCTTGGCTCAGGGCCCCTTTTTCCAACTTCAAAACCAACAGGATAGATAGCATCTTGCTTCAGTGCCACATTGCCTTCCCTTGTCCAATGTCTTAATCTTGGTCCTTTTTTTTTTTTTTTTTTTTTTTTTTTTTTTTTTTTTAAT